AAAGGTAACAATCGGTTAAGGAATTGTATTCCAGCATTCGATTCTTCTTTAAAATTTAGTAGAGTCGATATTGTATTCGGGGAGGAGAGTCTTTGTAGAGCGGGAGATTGCCAAAATGCATCCTCACAGTTCAAGATTTGTATTACAAAGCTTGCTACGGAGGTTCTTTTCACTTCTCTTCTCTTTTATTGCTTTATTTATTGCTTTATGTATGCAATATGAAATAAAGTCATGTAAATAGTCATTTTTTTAATATTATGCAATAAAATAGGGTAATCGCGTAATTTCTCGTAATCTTTGCTTAATGAATTAATCCGTCATAGGGAACCTGAAAGGGGCATTGTGGGGTGCTAACACCTTCCTCACACGTAACTAACTCCCTTACCCAATTTTGGTTATAATGGCCAACTTTGGTTTTTATTAAAATCAACGCCTTTTTTATCCTTTTCCAATGTTTACGGTCAAAACATTGGTGGCGACTCCATAAGAACCCCTTTTCGAAAACCTTACTTTTATTAGAGGATAGTTCAGTTGTTGAGCACATCGGAAGCAATGAACATATTTTAACATAAAACGCGAGTTTAAACCATCTTTTCGCGACCGCTCGCATAAACGTTCGAGATGTCCCTAGACGTCAGAACGGACGGCGGCGACAGATGGCGACTCCACTGGGGAAGCTAGGGAGTTGATCCCATTTAGCGACGGATAAAATTCAAACTAAGTAAAGATTTGAAATTACGCCTTTACCCTCCGTTGTAGTATGTTTTATTGTATGGCTTTAATAACTGCTGTATGATTATTTTCTGCAAATTGTCTGAAATATAAACTGCACACAAAAACCCTTAGACACAATAGTCCCTCTATACCCGGGGGCAAGAGTGAATACCTATAGGGACTGGGTGGCAGATACGACCGGCTTGTTGGCACACGGGGCTACAACTGTTGTCGGAAACCACCAACTCAAGGTGATAACTCTCTTCTTTTGGTCTAAGGATGTCAACACGGAGTTCCGTGCATGACCTGAGGACTGAGAGATTGAGAGGTCCCTATAATGGGGGCACCTTGGGGACCTTTGGCCTTGGTGAGAACAGTTTAGAACCACCTAAACCAAGCATGTTTCTGTAGGAAAACCCCACCTCGTAAATAGCGTGGCTCTGCTCGTGGATGAATGAATTGTGTGTGCATTCGTTTGCTGCATTTGTATTGATGCATTAGCATAGGGTAATCATACAACAAAAAAAAATAGTGAAAAACCCTAAAAATCATAAAAGTGATAAGATAAACCAACTTTATCTCGGACAGTCTTCAGTTAAGCTAGCCTGGTTTCAGGTTCTTTGTAAGCTAAGTAGCCACGTTGACCGACAGAAGAGATAAAGGGTCATAAAAAATATAAAAACAAATTAAAGCCATAAAAATACCTCTTACAAAATAAAAAGATTTTCTGACAAAAGTCTTATGATTCATATAACATATGCTCATAAAAATAATAAGAGAAGAAAATAGGACTCTCTTCATCAAAAACCATAAACATCCATATAGATAGTATTCTTTTTAAGAAAAAACCAAGTATTATCATGTATCATATTAGGAATAAAACATGATAATACTTAGAAAAACAAACACTTACATGCATGCATTTACAAGGACTCATCCTCATATCATGCATTTTCATTTCTTTTAGATAATGGAGGGATCCAGTAATTGACAGTTAAAGAAAGTGGAAATCCTTCTATGCCGTGTAGAGAAGTTAAGGCAGTTGTGTACATATATGCCGTCAAAGGTCAGTGCTAATTTTGAGAAATCCTATGGAAGGATTCTTGACCTCCTGAAAGTCAGCATCGATCCTATCTTTGTTAGAGCATTGGTCCACTTTTGGAATCCCAATCTACACTGCTTTGAGTTTTCGCAGTTCGATTTAGTACCAACCTTAGAAGAATATGAACTCATGGTTAGATGACCTCAGTCAGTCAGGGTCTATGTTTGCTCAGGAGTGTATGTGGCCGTGAGTAAGGTTGCTACTATCATACGATTGCCTCCTCATCAATCCATCCTAGAGGGAAAAGGGAACATCCGAGGTTGGAAAATGTCAATAATAGAAGACCACTTAATCTCTTTGGCTGAAAAGAAAGATTGGTCTACCTTCAACAAAACTCTAGCATTGGCAATGTTCGGAATTATATTATTCCCATTTCATGTGAATGTTGTGGATCATGCTGCAATAGATGCATTCTTTGCCTGGGATGTATACTCTAAGAGTCCTATTCTCGCAATTCTTGCCGATACCCCGCTTTCGGTAGATTTTTGCCGACGTAAACAGGGGAAAACACTTAGATGTTGCACTTCATTACTATATGTATGGGGCATCACTCACTTCTACGCTTTAAGCTACATGGGCATATTCCCTGATCCTTTAAGAAGTTTTGCAAAAATCCCTCTTCAGCATCATCAAGCTTTAGAATGGAAAACCGAGTTAGAAAATTGGAACATAGAGCATGTATCATGGGTTTGCCCTTGGTTTCGACCCGGTTATATTCTTGTACGATGCGGAGATTACCTGAGCATACCACTACTAGGCCTCAGGGGTTGTATAGCTTACTCTCCTAAGATAACTATGAGACAACTCATGAGAACTCAGACTGTGCCAACTCAAGAAGAGCTCAGAGGGCTGAGTCTATGCCATTATTCCCATAGTTTTGAAGAAGTATCCGTTGTCCGGAAAACATGGGAAAGACCAGTCTATATAGGAGATAAAGAACTTGGAAAGGTTCAGGTGTCTACATCCCATGAATATGATGAATGGAGGAAAAGTAGAAGGATACCTCAACCATCTGCTACATTCACAACAACATTAGTCAATGAAGAGCTACAATTGCAGGTCAATGCCTTAAATAAAATGGTAGAAGTAATGGAAGCTCAATTGAGGGCCTTCGAAGAAAAAGAGCAAGAAGCAACCCTTATAATAGATGGTCTAAAAAGGCAATGTAAAAAGAAGGACCATGAAATAGAGCGCCTTAAGAATGATTGTGCTGATTATCAAGAAGAGACTAAACAAGCACTGAAGATTCCGAGGCTTGAACAAGATAGTCTATTCCAGGACATGAATGACGAAATAGCACATCTTGAGAGTACGCTTGCAGAACAGGAAAAAACGTTCAAGTTAATACAAGATGACCTAGCAGAAACTCGGTCAGAAGCACAAAAGTGGTGGGAAACCGCTGAAAGATACAGAGAAGACCTGGAGGAGCTACATAATAAAGAAAGAGATGGATTAGCTCAATATGGTCAGTTACTTCGTGAAAAAGACCAAGTATTAGAGAGGTCTGACCAACAACATGCCTTGATCGTTCATCAAGAAGAAAAAATAAAAGAGGCTCGTCGATATAGTGAAGATATGAGCCAGGCGGTACATGAGCAAATCAAGACGCTCAGAAATCATGTGAGAGTAGCTGAAGATGAATTACGAAGAAAGCCTAATTTACCTATAGGTTTCTTCAAGCTTCTCCGTTTTTGTCAACACTTGCTTCAAAGCATTGTATAGAAGGATAAACACTTTCTAGTTAAAATAAAAAGGATTTTCCTTAAACTGTCTATTGCATTCATAAGTTGCATACATTCATACATCCCTCCTCATTTTAATAATAAATATAATAAAAAGAAAGGATTAATTGACACTAGTGCAAAAAGGGGCTTTTACGTCAGGTGTTTAGGGCTTTTTACGTCGTATTTAAGACTGACGTTAAAACGGGAGACATAAATTTACGTTGGACCCTTTAGCCCGACGTAAATTTACGTCAGTTATCAAGACCCGACGTAATTTTGCGTTGCATATACCACTAAACAGACGTAAAAACTTTCGGAAATTAAAAAAAATAGCAAATTTACGTCACATATTGGTATACGCGACGTAAATTTACGTCACATATACCAATATGCGACGTAAATTTGCTATTTTTTTTTAAATTGGGTTGATTCTGTTTTACAACTAAAACCTGCAAATATATATTACAACTAGACAGTCCAGAGGTTCAATTTTCTTTAGCTAGTAAATTAAAAATATAATATTATATAATTAAAACTACATAATAAAACAATATAATACAAACATACAAACTAAAAAATCTATTACAAACTAAAAGTTAATACAAACTAAGCTACCTAAACTACATAATACACACAATATAGTATGAACAAGAACTTAAAAAATTATGTACTAGAATTGTTGAACAAAAAATTTTGCCCATTGTTCTCTAATTTGTGTAATATCATATTCTGGTAATGGAGATGAATCTTGAAATACCTGAAACATTAATTTGACTCTTGTAAACATGCAACATGAATAAAGTTAAATAAACTTAACTAATGTTAAAAACAATTACCTCCGTCCAAGAATCAATTATACTTGCACAAACTATGGCTCTCATCCAATACATAACATAGTAACCACATTGAAACGAGTCTGTTTGCTTATTACACTGAAATGATGCAAAAAAACATAATGTTATTTTCAAAATTTAAATACAAACAATAATTATGGTATTCACTTATATAAATAAGTTTCTAACCTTAGGATAAATGAACTGTAAAGTCTTTGTTATAGGTTTTCCACTTAGAACATTAGTTTCGAATACGATTCTAAGTGAAAAAAAGTCATATATTATTCAATATATATTATTCTAAGGAAAGGATATAGTAGAAGTAGTGCAAGTGAGGCATCTTCCAAAAGGAAACAACAAAGGAATCATTTTTCTATACGAAAATGACCTTAGGAGATGAGAGTGACGCATAAGAAAATGACAAATAAAACTTATCCGGACCTATTGCATCACAGACTACACAACCCTAACAAACGTCGGAACTAGATATTCATCTAACTCCTCAACACCGATTTTAAGTTCATTATCCATATCAAACAATGCATAAAGCACGATAGATAACTTCTTATAAACAAAATTTAAAAGGCACAAAACCAAATTTGTGAGACACAATTTTCCGGCACTCGACTAGTGGTTGTCCCGACGACCCAATAACACAATAGCCATCCACCGCAAGTTAGAAAGCCTCCTACCTAAGAACATCCTACAGAGAAATAAAAGAAAGTCACTAACTGAGAAAACAACAACATTGATCCGAAATCTGAACTCGTGAAAAGAGAAGGCACTCGAATAGTACCCCAGTCATAACAATCTTCAAATTTCCCATTATCTGATAGGTGGAAGTATCCACATAAGTGAGTGTAGCAAACTGCACATTATTGTGGATGAGATATATAACTGAGGGAATCGGGAACAGGGCAACCGTTTTCCACTCCGTCGTCATCTTTGGCAGAGGTGACTTTTGGCATTCCCTCCACAATAACAAACTTAACACCGCAAGCTGAGTGTTTAGCAAAGATGAAATAAGCAACTGCTATTATGAAGCATCAAAACTCGGTTCCTATCAAATAAAATTAACGCATGAAGTGTTTATTAATTTACCTTGAAAACCTCGGCGAGAAATGAGACTGTGGCATAATCATACTTGTACTCTCCGTTACTTTGCGAGAAGGTTGTGAGTATTCCATGCCACGTGAAATTTATCGAAATCAAATTAACATTAACAAAATAAAAGTGCGTGTGAATGGAAGATGCAAATGGTTGGAATTAGGGTTTGAATGTGAGGATATGGAGGAATGGAAGAAAGTAGGAGAGACCTGAGAACTAGTGAGACCTGAGGGACCCTTGCTGGGGGAATAAAAGGGACTTTTTACGTCGCACACCCCAGGACGCGACGTAAAAGTTTTGTCTCTTATTTACAAAATTGCCACCACGTTTTATTTACGTCGAATATTTTTACATGCGACGACAATTGGGTGACGTTAAAGCCCTTTTTTTCACTAGTGTGATGTGCTTTCCACAAATCAGAGTAAATGGAAAAGAAGCCTTTTGTCATCAAAATCTCTACAACGGTCGATAGACCCAAAGATGATAATAAACAAGCACCGTTGATCATTCCAATCAATAAAAGGGAAGAGGCAATAACGCCTTTACGTTTATTCATGCCTCGTCCTTTCCCTTATTCATCAAATAAAGCTGTACCTTGGAGATACTCAGAAGAATCACCAGTTAATCAAGATATCTCCAACATAGCCAGTATTGGGGGCATGACTAGAAGCGGAAGAATATACTCCCCCAAGGAATTACAAGATAATATTCCTAAAGATAAGGCAAAAAATAAGGCCGAAGAGGAAAAAGAATCCAAGGAGGAGACGGATGAGTTACTCCAGTGCATAAGACAAAGTGAGTACTCCATCATCGATCAACTCAATCGCACTCCTGCAAAGATAACCTTGTTATCACTCATAATGAGTTCGGAGCCGCATCAAAACGCATTGTTAAAGGTTTTGAATGAATCATTCGTTCCACATGCAATATCCCAAGACAAGTTTGAAGGAATCATTGGTAATATTACAGCCAATAATCATCTTACCTTCACAAATGAAGAACTCCCTTTAGAAGGGTCAAATCACAATAAGCCCTTGCATATTTCTGTCAAATGTAAGGAATATCTCATTTCCAAAGTTCTTATGGATAATGGGTCATCCTTAAATGTCATGCCTAAAGGCACACTTGACAAGATAACAGTGCAAGGAACCCACATGCGCCCGAGTAATACAATTGTTCGAGCCTTTGATGGATCAAGACGTGAAGTAGTAGGAGAGATTAGTCTACCAATCCAAATTGGCCCTACTATTTTTAACATAGACTTCCACGTGATGGATATCACGCCAACATATAGTTGTCTCCTTGGTAGACCTTGGATTCATAACGCTAAGGCAATACCTTCAACGCTCCATCAGAAAGTCAAGTTTGTGACAAATGATAAACTCGTCACAGTTCAAGTGGAAGAAGACTTTCTAATCAGCAAATCGTCTGTCCAACCATATGTGGATGCGGCTGAAGAGGCTCTTGAAACATCTTTTCAAGCACTCAAAATTGCCAACATAGAAAGACTTCCTGGAAATACAAAGGTGGCTCATATGATGAAAAGATACGGGTATCGCCCAGGACGGGGGCTCGGAAAGAATGCTCAAGGAATAAAAGAGCCACCAGATTTCAAAGATAATCCTTTAAAGTATGGTTTAGGGTACGACCCTACAAAAAGTCAAACCATATGAAAAACAGGGAAGTCTTACCCCTCAAAGACGATATTCCGAAAAGAAGGGGTATTGGCGCAAAGGGTAGCGTTAGTCATTAGATGTCCTTCTTCCAATTCTAAGGGATGTAAACCTAGTGACTATTAGAGATCACTCCTCGGGGTATGCCCAGCCCCCGAGCATTTCTAGGGCACACATTTCCCCGAATTACAAAAGAATGCTATTCTTACTATCTGCTTCTCTTCTTGCTAAATATGTCTATACCTTTTTAATAAACAAGGTTTAGATAGACGTTTTGTTCCAAATGCGTCAGAACAATCAAAGCGTCACAAAGTAAAGTCAAATATGATTGATTAACTAGAAACACGGATAAAATCTATCTCGATAGAATCAAGTTTCAACAATGTTATGCAAAAAAATATATATATACAAAAAAGGAGAGCCTGTCAAGGCCAAAGGCCAAGGCAAGAAAATAAAAGGGCAAAATACCCGGCAGGAAACCCACAAAAGGGGGCTGCACAAAAGTTAGGGTAAACCCGGCAGGAGACCCGAACAATAATAAAGGGTGGCCTGGGCAAAAGTTAGGGTTATGAAAAGTCCGCTAGGTATTCCAAAAAATAAATACAAAAAGGGAAACCTAGACAAAATTTAGGACATAAGCATAACATCCTAGGATGGAAAACCTGAAAGGGCGGGCTAGGAAAGTTAATCAATCACAAAAAGGCGCCATAAATCAGTAAAGTAAAGACGCCACATCATAAGAATGAAACGTTTGCCTAAACTAGCCTAAACACAGACCAACCTTGGCTAGCCATTCTTACAGAAACCTCTATTGAAAAAATATATATCCCTCTAAAACACAAGCCTTTGCTATAAATCCTTTTCTTTCTCTTCTCTTGACCATTTCACTATAAAGCATTCAAGTAATAAGGGGAATGTGGAAATATAGTGATCAATAGGAAGGTTGAAATCCCTAAGGAAAGGAAGGGGGGCATTGATATGGCAGTTGCCCTACGAACAAAAGATTGCTCTTCGGCTATAGCAAGAAAATTCCGAGACGGCAAATCAGGTACAACCAAGCTTGTTAATCAAGAAACATGATGACAGAAAGGTACAACACCAAGAATGCGCCCGAAGTCAAAGCACATCGGTTAAAACTTTCAAAATATTAACTGAAATAGATCATAGGATGCATATCATGAAACATTACATGCATTAAAACATCAATGAATGGAGTCCTATCCTCCTTCTCATCAAAAAACATGAAAACCAACTCGAAAAGCTTGAGACAGCCGTCCCAAGGGCGAGACAGCCGTCCCAAACAACCAATTTCAAATGGGACGCTCGTCCCAAGTTGGAGACGCCCGTCTCAGGGCCAAATTTTCAAGTGAGACGGCCGTCCCACTCCTCAGTTGGCTGTCCCAAAGGAAAATTTTTAAGTGAGACGGCCGTCCCAACCCCAGACGACCGTCCCAACTCTCCTGGCTCCCCTATATATGTTAGGCGCGGATCCTTGCCTTGGTACCCCATTCCAAGCATTCTATCTTGCTTCTCCTCCCTTTCTACACACTTCTAGCATCCTTAAGTGAGTAAGATATACAATGGAACGTGGAGAGGCTTCATCCAGGAGAAAACGCACCAGGACCTCCGCTAGAGGAACTCCTGTCACCAACACTTTGCTGGCAGAGCCACATCAACAAAGGTTGGCAAATATCCAACAATTCTCTTGGCATCCCATGCTATGTTTGGATTTTGAAATCCTGACTACATTCGGCTAGGATCAAGATGTTAGAAGATTCATCCATAACATAGGATGGGACTTTCTGTTTTGTGAGCCACCTGCTCGGATCCACCGTACTGCTACGCTGGAATTCCTTGCTTCTGTCAATCTGGTGGAGATGCCTTCCACGACTCCCAGAGTGCTGCTTACTCAAGCCGTCTCCTATTGGATGGATGGGGCATACCGAACCACTTTTCTAAATGACTTTAATGTCATAATGGGCTTTTGCCAACGAGCAGACACGAGAACACCGAAATATAGGTCTGCATATCTCGAGAAACCCGCTACTCTCACTTCCACCAGCATGTGGAAAGAAATTACCGGAGCACATACACTGCCATCACATCTGAAAGGTGCATCTTTTTCTCCGCCATTCCGCATATGCCATAAACTGCTAGCCGGGACCATACATAGCTGGAAGGAAAGCCAAGGGAAGGTAACGCTGGCTGACCTTTTCATTGTCTATTGTATGCATCAAGGGCATCGATGCAACCCAGGATATGCCTTCCTGAAAGCCGTAAAGGATTACGGAACTTGCGGCTCAGCAGGAGCCATCATGGTGGCTCCCTTTCTCACCCCTTTAGCTGAATATTGGGGATGCACTGACGGAGAAGACCTCCCAGCTAGCCTCCAACAAGAGCTGATTAACGGAGGAACACTGGTCCACATGAACATCCTTAGTCGACAAGGATCAGGGTTTATTTTAAACCCCATAATCTCGATTTCGCTGGATATGCGTGATTTTGACACACCACAGGACATCCCTGCGACTTCGGAATCCCAGCAGCAATCATACGATCCAGACTTTGCTGGCTTATACTGACGTATAGATGATGAGCACGCCTACATGGAAGGGCAGTTCCAGTTCATGCGACAGTAGTTCAGTCAGCTGACCATGAGGCAAGATAGGACCGATCGTCAAATAGAAAATTTGGTCCAGACTCAGGCAAGGTTCCAGCGCCGCATACTCCGCCGCATCCCTTCGCCAACACCATCCTCCCATTCCAGCTCGGAAGCAGATGATTAGGAGGTCTTTAGATATTTTCTAGTAGTTTAAAAATGCTTGAATGTATCACCAAGAAAAAAAGAAGTAATAAATAAAAGTTGTTATTTCTGTTTACATTTCAAAAAGCCCACGTGTAAAAAAAAATTATAAAATAAAAAGGCACACGTTATATATTAAAAAGCCAGATTTCAAATAACTTGTGATAAAGATCAAAATCGCGAAAGAAAAAGGCGAAATCAGAACCATTCCAGCAAAAATAAAGAGCTTCGAGGAAAATAGCTCCAACCTTCTACACCAACAAACGAAGGTGCACCAGAAAAAGGCCAACGGAAAGGCTCGATGATCCCCCAAATGGATCCTTGCCTACTCCAAAGGCAAAACAAAAATTACTTCATGACTCAGCATTACCACATGAGTCGTCAAACATAGTCATTTGAAGCTTCAATCAACACCCTTCCATCCAAGAAAAAGGAAGTCATCAACATGAAAAAGCCAACGGAAAGGCTTGACCATCCCCAAGAGGATCCTTGCCTACTCGAGAGGCAAAACAAAAAGATTACCTCACGACTCAGCTGCATCACCACATGAGTCATCGAGCACACTCATCCAAAATCTTCGCCACTTCCCCAAAGGAGAATAAGG